TCCCTCAGAGCCCAACTGCCACCACCGGCTTCCCACAAGCCTCTCCACCTCCCCCACTCCTCCTGCTCTTAAGGCCGATTGGCTGGGTTGTGTGGGCGAAGCCAAAAAAAATCCCCCAATGAGCAGCTTCGGGGTTTGAAAGGGCGGGGAAACAGCCCAATGAGCACCACCGCAGAGGCAGCTAGAAGTTTGCTGGGGCCGCTGTGAGCTAATCATCAGCCAGCAGCTGGAAGTTTGCTGGCAGCTGGAAGTTTGCTGGGGCCCCTTCGGCTGTGGCTCTCAACAGTGGGGCCATTGTAATTTTACACTAAACTATGTCCTCTAGTTTTACAGAAACAATTGGCTACATCTATATGCCTTTTTCTTATTAATCTGTTTATTTGGAATGAGGCAGGGAATATGGGTGCTATTTATTAGTCCCTCTTGAGAGCCTGTGTCTCATCTCTTAATTGCAGATGAAGGAACTGTGGCCAAGAGAAGTAAAGTTTAACTAGCAAAATTAAGGTGATAATTTTTGAGTACTTATTATTTGCCAGTGTAAGTATTCAGAGAGACTCATATACAAACACAACTCAGAGATGTTTCTTAAGAAGTTTATAATTTAGTGACCAACCCCAGGACCCACAGCAAGCTGCTGTCAGAGCTGAAACCCAGAAGACATTTACATAATTTACACTATCTTATGACATTTACTTTCAAATTTATTCTTGTTCCTTTTCTGCCTCTATTTTCCCTATTTTTATAAYATAATTAAAAGTCAAATAGAACTTTCCAGGCAAATTAAGGAACTCTAATTATACTTTGCTCTATGAAAAAAAATATTTTGGAAGTCACATAATTTAATTCTCTGATCTACCTTGCTACTCTGTACACAGGAGGGACCTTTGACCCTCATCTGGAGTATGCTTATAACCTCGCTTTTGGAGGTGGGTGGGGAGACTAAAGAGAGCTGGGGAGCCCTGTTCATAGTGTTTGCCAATTTCCATAGTGTAAATATACCCTCCATAACTGATTTAAGAACCAGCTTGCAACATTCCTGAAAATTTAGCAATCAGTTCTCCTGACTCAGATAAAAGCTGGCTCTAGCAGCTTTACTGCAGGATCTTCTTCCCCTTATTTCTATTAAAACAAACTAAAATTTAATGAGCATCTATTATATGTCAGTCTCTGGGCTTACTTTGGGGGTTAGACATAGTTCATGTCCAAAGGGAACGCAGAGTCCAGAGGGAGAGACAGTCTGTTTCAGCACTCTGTGGAAAGTGTTAGATGAAGAAAGGACAAATGTTGATAGTAATCAAGAATCAAATCACTCTTCCCAGAGGTTGTGACATCTACACTGAGAGCAGGGGAATGGGTGGAAACGAGTTGGACTCAGAGGCAGGAATGAAGAATGTTCTATGATTAGGGAACAACTGTGTACAGGCTCAAGTGATAAACAAGAGGGATGTGAATGTTGAGTTACGTGTCGTCTAAAGTGAGCTGAAGAGCAGTGCGCATCTCCTTCCTGAAGCTCTCCTTTGTTAGAAGAAAGACTTTTCCTTACCCCTAAAGTTTTCATCTTCATGGAAGTAGATCCACTAGTAATTATATCTGGTCTATCTCTATCACCTCATTCACATTTCCAACCTCCGGCTAGACACCTCCACATGGATATGCTGCTGTCCTCAAATCTGGTTCACACAGTACCCACTGTCTCATACTTCTAGGGTTGGATAATATGATGAGACATTGATATTTGATTTTTTAAAAAAAATTTTGTACTTACCCTTATGTTTGTTGCATCAGGAGAGATGTGTAACAGGGCATAGAGGAGTTGCCTAACAGAATATTTATTCTTTTGTCTTCTTTTTATTGCCAACAGTCTATGGCCTAGAGAGAGGAAAGAGTTTGCTGGCAAAGGAAGAGTGTCTGGAAAAGACAAAAGGAAGAGAAAACCTTTCCTTAAGAAGAGATCCTTCTGTATCTGGACAGAAGAGGCAGAGATCAGCATGTCACATGAGCCCTTCAGTATGAATGACTGAAGATGTGTGAGGCTTAGCAGAACGGTATCAGACCTCCAATATTTCTCTGGCCTCAAGAAGTGCTGGAGCTAGGAAGAGCTGAAAAGAAGAACCAGATATGTATGGCAGAGCCATCCGGTCTATGCAGCATGTGGCCATAGGTGGCAGTTCTAAGAGAATATGAAAGAAACCTCTGGTGGACAGATGAGTAAAAGGCAAAGGGCCTTCCCCCACTCCCTGTCACCACCACCCATTCATAGCACAGAATGGTATATGCCCTTGGAACTTTGTCTCTACCCAAGGGAGTGGAGGAAATCCTGAAGAAAGATTAAAGCCTTGAAAGTGAAATAAAAGGATATGCTGAAACTTGGCACATTCACATTCTGTGTTTTACCCTGTTTTTGGTGTCTTGGTGGGCAGACTCCTGCATCCTGTTTCCCTAGTTCTTATGGCAGCTGCTTACGGGTTTGGCCAATGGAAGATACTGGCAGGGAATCAGAAGGCGGAGAAGAGAATTTGTGGTACATTTTCTCCTTCCCCTGCCATAGATGCTGCTTTGGCAGTGACTGTGTCTCTTCTATGCAGCAATTCCCACTAGCTGGCCACACTGCCTGGCCCCAGGGCTCCAGTAACCCTGCCTCCTCTCTTATTTCCCTAGCTAGGGGCTATGGTTACTAATTTCTGGATTACTTCACTATCCCCATGTTTAGTTTCTGAGATCTTCCATCCCCCTGTTACCAAATCCTTGCTTTCAGTTATCCCTGTTTGTAGATATTCGAAGTGGTCTCTGTTTTCTTGGTTAGACTCTGTTTGAAACAGGTTGACTTGTAGAAAAGGGGATGTGGTATTTCTTGCACACCTGTCTTGGTAGTTTCTGTTTTATATCACTATGTCGGTATCAAGTTCATCTATCCTATTCTCTCAAGCTGGTTTTATTGCTAAGTGAAACTGTTTACATCAATGTATAATCATTCCCAGACAACTGACATTTTAAAGTGATTTAAAGAGGATGACTTGAGGCAAAGATAAAACTATACAAGGGACATTTGAGATGGAGCATGTGAACTCTCAGGTTCAGAAGCTGTTCAGATCACAGGTTCACTTCTATATTTGGGCCTGATCTTTTTTAGTGTGTCATTTTTTTTTCTTTATAGATTGACTAGGTCTTCATAGAACAAAAAAGAATTCTGGGAAGGACTTCTGCATTATTCCCAACAAATCCCCCTCAGCCACAGTCCTTGCAGCTCAAACCCCATCTCCTTAAGATAGTACTCAGTCACAGTCTTTAGGTGGCACAGACATATCCCTGATGAGGCCACACATAAAGCTATTATCAGCCATTATTGCCTGGTGAATTGGTTTATTAGGTATTCTTTGTAACACTCAACAACTGACCCAAGTTTTGATTGGGTGAAGTGTCAGGGCTGGGATGGAAGCACAGAGTACCACCCAGAAAGGGAGGCAATTTGGAGATAATGTCCTTTCAGGAGGACTAGCTGTGAGCCTAATAAACTAAGTGGCAAGTCAGAACTTTATTGCTTTTGGCCAAAGAACACTGCCAAACTTTCAGAACAAAGGGCAAGTACAAGGCATTTTTCCTGAAAAGTTTATATGATTTCAGATAGGAAAAAATGAAATTAAGTTTCCGAAAATAAAATATACAATGTTTTGGAGTTGATTTTATGGGAATGATCACCAGAACAATAAACTATTGTGTCGAACAGTTTAAAACCTGAAATAACTTTCAGTGTGTTAAGGTACTGATGGAAAGGAAAAGTCCACTCAGACTATGTTGTGCTCTGTTTTATATTTGAGATGTTATGTGTGTGTTGGAAAACAATAATCTATGTTTCCAAATTTGATTTGAGAACATTCATGAAAACATTCTCTTACCTCTACTTTCCCATGCTTACTTTAGGTCACACAAAAAGCCCTACTACAAAATGTCTTCTRTCTGAGCAGCCTACTGGTGAAATTGGTGTGTTTATATTTATTAACCTTTGTATTATCATGGACATTATATATAGATTCTGGAACAAGTGCTCTTTGAATTTGTATAAATGTACACCAAAATTTTATTTGTTTTAATCTTCAGATAAAGCATTATTGCTGCTTTTTAAACAACGAACTCTTGGTTTGAGATTGTGACTGGTACCTAAGTTTACAACATTTATAAATTCTGGGGTCCACACTCTGAATTCACATCAAGTCAGCTACTTATTAGGTATGTGACTTCAAGGAAGTGACATAAATTCTCTGCATCTTTAAAATGTATTTCCGAATTGTTGAGAGATGTAAACTTGGAAGTGCATTTAAAAAGACCTGGCCTATAGTGAGCTCTAAATAAATGGCAGTAAATATTCTTATCACTGAACTGAATCAGTCTGGCAGAGATATGCATAAAGATAATCTTGATCAAGAAAATAATTTCTTACAAAAATGGAAAAGATCAAGTGTCCAGATTCAAAAATAGTTACGCCAATCAGAATATGAACTTTACCCCCATCCCCAACACACACACACACACACACACACACACACACACATTTAATGGATATTTAATAGTTTTTAAAGATGACATATAACTTCATGGTCTTCCAGTCTTTTCTATTTCTGTTCAGTGTTGAGCCTTTAGCAGAGACTAGCGAACGACAAATTTGAGCACATCACTTAACTGGAGAAGGCTCTGCGTTCCCAGGCCTGTAAGTTGAAACTCTCCAGTTGAAAGTAGTGTTTGGACTGAGGACGGGGTGTTACCGCTCCTCTTTCCCTCTCTACTCAGTAACGCCCCCCTTCTCCGCCCCCACCAACTTCTTTAGGCCTCTTAGCGCCTTTCTCTCCCGCCCGCCCAGCCTTCTGGTGTCTGGGCTGGGCGCAGGAGGCGGGCTCAGCGCTGACAGGCTGTGCCTCTGCAGCCAGAGGGAGGAGGCGGGAAGGCGGGCGGAGGAGGCGGAGGCGGAGGAGGAGGCGGGGACTACGCGGGGCGGTAGCTGGCGCCGAGCGCGKTGGGAGAGGAGAGGGTACCCGGCTGGCTTGGCTGGCGGCCTCTGCCCGCATCTCGGYGCCGCAGCCCTGCACCTCTCCCGCCCTTGTCGCTGGGTCCGCGGTCCCGGGCACGGAGGAGGCAGTGGAGCTCTAGGCCACTGGTAGGTTGCAAGGGGACCGCGGCTCCATCTGCAACCTTTTGTGCCGCAGAAAAGGTGGTGGTGATGGGTGGTTGTGATGGTGGAGGGTTGCCCCAGTCACCGATCCTTGGTGCCAGTCCCAATCACGGCGCCGCCCCTTCCTCTTTGCCTCGTGTCCGGGCCGGGCGCGCAGTGTATGCGCAGTGCTGGGGAATCCCGGCCGGGCTGGCCTCCGGGATGGGTGGCGGTGCGACCTCAGTGTCACTGGCCTTGGCGGGCCGGTCCCCCCGCACCCGTGTAGGGTTCTGAGCTCTGGGTGAACTGGGTGGGGCCCGCGCTGGTGCTGGGAGCCCGCAGTCCTTGGCACAGGGGTGGGGCTGGAGACGCCGTGAGTGTGCTGCGCGTGTGAGTGAGTGTGCGGGGGCGTGCGCCCCCGTGTGCGCGCGGCGTGCGCTCGCCAGGGAGGTGCGGGGATTCAGCGAACCCGAGCGCCTCTCCGGCTGTGCCGCGGTGCGGAAGTCTGGATGCGTTGGCGCGCGTGTTAGCCTCGGCCGCGGTGCCCTTACTGCGGGGCAGCAGGCCTGGGGACCCCTTTGACAAGTAGCTCTTTCTAGGCCTGCTGCKCCTCTGGCCGCGCCCTCTGTGGTGCGCAGGGTGCCACTGCCCGGGTCAGATAGCGCTTAAGGGGTGAGCCTCCAGGGCCTTATCTCACCAGCCCTCCTAGCCCGTTGCTGCAACCTTCGCCGAGGCCGTCCGAGTCCGCTGGTGCGGCTGGGGTGGACGGGCAGTTGTGGCCCTGTGCGCGCCTGTGGATTGGGCCCGGAGCTTGCCAGAAAGGAAAGCGGCAGATGTCGTTGGTCATCGCCGCCCTCGCCCCACCTGTCGCGGGTGGACTTTGGGGCGGGTGGTAAGCGTAGGAAAGGGATTTCGAAGCGGGCAGCAGTCAGACCTTGAGTAGCGGCCCCATTGTGAAGCTGCCAAACTCTCTCTAGCGGTGGAATCTGCAAATCTCTGCCAGAATGGAGATAAAAACGCGAAGGGAATGGTGGCCCTGTCCTTTTCCCCTTRCAAGTGTTCCACATCCTTAGGGACTCCCTGCTTCTCCACCCACGCCAGTGTGCACCGGGTGGGTTAGTGATTTGTGTCGAGCCAAGATTTCTGTGTGTTTATGCCTATGTGTGAGGCTGTGGTGCACAGGTAAAACGGGAGCTGGGAACTTTTTCATCATTCAAAGAGAATGAAGAATGGAGGCAGTAGCATTTTGTAGTGTGCTTGCCACTCCTAGCCGAAAGAACTGTTCTTGTACAACGTTTCTGACGTTACTAAACTATTCATTTTACATTATGTTTTTCAAAAACTAGCCTATAATTTCGGGTTGTTCGTTACTTTGTTTTTCTTTTCAATCCTGTAAAGCAGAATAGACAAGGGGAAATAGAAATGACACCGTCCCAAAGTTTATTTGCCCAGTCATTTCAGAATACAGTGTTGGTTATTATTGCAGAAGTTTTGGATACTTTATTAATTCAAGGACACAATTTATGCGAACACGACTGTTTAATGAGTAGTTCACATATTTCTTTGTATTTATTATGTAACTGTGCATTATAAGCTTTAAATGTTCAGGTGAAAGGTAAGAGTTAATGAGCACAGGAACCTCATAATTTGATATGCACTGGTATGTAGAATGTTTTTCGACCAGTTTTTGTTTATCTAATTGTGGTTGAGACTTTTAGTGTTAATTATTCCACARTATAAGATACATTTATTGACTTTGCGTAACAGTGAAGTTGCTTATTTTCTGTGTATCTCCGTAAATTTTGGAGAGCTCTTTTAATATTAACTCAAACATATTTGGCTTAGTTGGAATAATAAAACTTTATAYATATGATTTAAAATTTCTTTGATGAGTTGTAGTTGGTGGGGCGGGGGGTGTCAGCTTATTTCTACCTGAGAGAAGTTTGATTTATGTCATCAGGCTATCAAAATGAGTACCTGGCTTTAAGCTTTMCTTTGGGAGGTTAGTCCCTCCGTGTACACCTTTTCCTTTCATTATGTTTGGAAGACGCAGATTTCTTATAAAGACTGTGTGTAAATGTACAGTTCCAGTTATTGTCTGTCATATTTGCAGTGAAACTGAATATTTTCTCTAAATGTAGAAGGATGACTTCACCTGGTAAGAAGATATTAGTAACCTGGTTTAATTTTTACTAGCAGAAATGGAATGAAAATGAATGCCACATTTTTTTTTAAAGGGAGTTGCTATTAAAAGAACTGATACTAGAAAGAGAAACACTTTTTTTTTTTTTTTTTGTCTTACTGAACCAATTATGGCTTGTCTTACGATGTTGGTGAAGTTAATGGTTTGTTTGTAAGGTCAAGGATGGTTTTAGAAAAGTCACACCCTACTTAACTCTTCTTTAAAACCTTGGATGATTTAATTTTTGCAAATTGCAAATGGTAAAGTGAGATTATTTGAAAGTATYCTCTAAGATGAGCATGTAGGTACAGATTAACTTTTTGGTGTTGTTTTTTAAAAAACACATTGTATGTTTTACTTTGGTAATTAGTCATTTTGTTTCTTTCCAATTTGGGATATTTTGGTGCATCTCTCCCTTACTTGTTTTAGAGTAGTCTTTAAGATTACAAAATATTTCTACTAGTCTGAATGGAATTTTTTTAAAAAAATGTACTTTCTTCAAACTGCTTTAAAAAAAAAATGGCCTCTTCTTAAATAGCCACAGTGAGAAATACTGTTTCCATAAAGAAAAAAAAAAAAAAAAGTTTGGGAAGCAAGAATTAAACCTCACTTCCACTCTACTAATTGATTGACCTAAAATTCACCTTGCTTTTCTTAGTGCTATCTTTAATGATTAGTGAGATTTATTTACCAAAATTCAAAATGGGTGTGTGGTGGCTTTCCTATTGATAACCTTATCATTTTTCAATAACAGATTTTTAATTTTTTTCTTCTTATTTTGGTCATGGGCCTCTGCTGAAGCCTCAGATTTAAGGGTGTGTGTATAGGATTTTGTGGGGACCTGAACATTTCAATGTAGGCTTCCTTTATTTGGGAGAAAAAAATCTCATTTCTGGTTTCTTGGTATTATTCAAGTTTACTTTTCTCTGTGTTAGATTTATGTATTTCCATTTCTTTGTGTGTTATTCTCTTTGGCCTGAGTTTCCACTTTTTATATTTGCCCCAGTCTGTGAGATATATATTTGCTGAGATATTTAGTAAGATTCAAGAGATATTGTTGAATGACTAAGTGAACATTTGAATTCCTGAGTGGGTACAAAAAAGTCTTCCTCAGACTTGGTGGAAAGCCACTGTACAAGCAAAGAGATGTTTCTTCCTTTAAAAAAAAAACAAATCCATTGCCTTTATATAACTATGTATCACATTTGAGTAGGATAACAATATAATTGCCATTCTGGGACACTTTTGAGAGTTAAAGGGAGTAACTATAAATAATCATGCCAGGGGGTACTGACTGTGAATGAAGGCATACAATCACATCTACTTTTGAAGGACTTTCTTCTTTAACTGTGATCATATTTATCTCCTTACCTGAGAAATTGGACTCAACTTGCTAGTTAATGTTTGCAAACTTTTCTATTTGTAGAATCTTCATTTGTAGTAGGTTGTTGGGTGCCTTTGGCTTAGTCATCTGTGGCTTCCCTATCCAGATGCTTGTGGGCAGCTTGTAGCTGCCCTTAATTTTTCTACTTTTCATTGTTTACAGGATAGTGACCTTGGGCTCTCTGTTTGATTCAGCTTCTCTTTGCTGGAAACATTGTGTCCTTTAGCCTTGGCTCTACTTTCTTCAATCTGTTTCTATGTAACATTTAGTGCCTATCTAAGAATTTCATGTAGGACCTTCCTCTTGCTGCTGGTGACAGGAGATCCATTGATAGATACCCTTCCAATCCTTCATGCCAGGATGAGGCCATAGCCATCTGCAAGTGTTAGAGGTTGATATGTTTTTAAAGTATACTAAGAATGGGTGTCATTGGAAAGACATTTGGGGGGGACATTTATATTACCATCTTTTAATTCCTGTTTATAGGAGATGGGGGTAGAACCCTTAGTATAATTTTGTGGTAGATTTCTTTATAGGCAATCTCTTACAGAGGAGGTTTTTTGTTGTTGTTGTCTTATTTTGTGATTTCTTACCTCACTTTTTTTTTTCTTTTTCACCATCCTTGTCTGCCTCCTCCTCTTGGTGCCTGTCAGGCATACTCAGTTAATACACAGCAGAGAGAGTGGTGTGAGTAAACACCAGGACTGGAGTGGAGTGTCTCACCTTGGTTTCCCTTGAGTTGCTCCCTTGGGTACTGTTTGTCTTCTATTCTTGACTTGGCACCTGTATAACAGGGACAATCAGTTACTACACTTTAATTTTCAGTCTAAATTTGTAAAACTCTAAATGAAATCTGTCTTACTTTGTGATAAATGTAGCACTGAAAAGTGAAATGAAAATACTTATCTATATTTGGCCCAACTGTATAACCAGCAAGTATTGACTGAAACTTTTTCCCCCCCTGCCTTATAGTTTATGATTTAAAAAATAGCTTGGAATTTCTAAGAAGTCCATGATTTATGAAGGATTCTGTATAATACCCTCCACTATGTATCTTAAAGTCTTAATGTTTTTCAAGTTAGAAATAACCTTAGAGCAAGTAGTAAAAACTACCTCCCCCAACCATTTCACAAATGAGGTATTAAGCTTTTAGATAAAGTACCTCGCCAAACATTTAAGATAGGATTCCACTTTTAAAATGAATAAATACACATTTTTCAGAAACATGATTGTTATTTTAAAAGGTTGTGTTTATAACTGACCAGAGGCCACAGAGGCATGAAAACAAGGAAGTGGGCTTTGGAGCCAGACCAGGTGGGATTCAGTTCAGTCCTACACTGACTCTCAAATAGTATCCTTTGATCAGATATTTAAAGTGGGGATAGTAACTTCTATCATGGAATGAAGATTAAATGCCATAAATAACTTTTTTTGGCATAGAGAAAAAATAAGAATATTGGTTTCCCCATTGAAAATCCACTTACTGTAGATATCAATCTGACCCTTATAATGATAATATTTAGGAAACTCTTTGGGGGTAATTATATAAAGTAAAAAAAAATTACCAATAGGTGTCTATTTTTGCTACATTAAAATTCACTTTATGTTAAAACCAGAGGTTTCGTCGTTGAGCTAGAACCAATTCTTAATTATCTAGATTTCTTGGTTACGCACTTTGAAAATAGTTTCAAAATAGTGAAAGGTAACATGTCATTATTCACATCCAGTGAAATTCCAAAGGCTGATCAACACAAGTTCTTTGGAATGATGTTTTTGGTGCATGAACTCCTTCCAGTTTCTGGAACTAAAGAAACAAATACCATTAATTTAGTAAATTACCCATTTCCTTTGGCTAAAAYTTATCTGTGTTAGATAGAAAAATAATCAAGTGACAACCTCCTTGCCTTTTCCCTTATAGTTTCTCTTCAGTTTGAGAATGCTGTACAGTTCTGTTAACACTTTTCCAGCTCTGTGCCTGCATTGGTAAAATCAATCAACTCATTAATCCCACCCCCCCACTCCAGCTTCCTTTCCCCCAGTTGAACACWATAAACGAATTCTCAACAACCAAAGAAACCTTTACAGGTGGAAAAGAGCTTTGGAGAATTTTCTTGATCTCAACACATTAACCCAATTAACAGGGGAGTCAGGAGATAAAGATAGATTCTCTTACACATTAATTCCCCAGTTAAGAGGGGAAAGGCGCAGAGGAGATGCTAGAAACCTTAAGTAAGGTAGCAACTGAAAAGAAGTGAAACAAGTTTTTTCTCTGTCTTAAAAAATATTTTCCAAGAGCTTCCCAATCACTTACTTCACAGCAATCTTATAAAGAATTTTTATTGTTGCTATATATGGCTCAAATGAGTAGACACCAAAAATTAATTGCATAATCATAACATCACACATCTGTAAAGGGCTTTGCAGCATGCAAAACATGTTCACCTACCTCATTTCATTTGATCCATGTAACAGCTGTATTAGGGAGGAAGGGTGGTATTATTGGCCTCATTTTAAAGATTGCTATTTATGCAAGGTCAGGAGACAGAGAGTTCTTAGCAAGGCCAGCACAAAGATCCCCACTCCTCCCTTGCTTTCTTAAACCCCAGCCTCAGCATTCTGTTTTCCTATAGAATACTGTTAATCTGGTAACTGCAATAGGACTAGGATGGTAAAAGGAACATGGTAAACCCCTAACTTTTCTTGTATCTTTATTTAGCTTCATTAGATACTCTTAGACTGTAGGTACAGTTTACCAGCAGAATACCGGGAACAAGCATGGTAACATGTTTGAGGATTCATTTAGCTGAATAAACTCAAAATTACTTTTTAATTGAATTAATTAGTTATTATATTCTATATAATCTGTACCTGGTACTACCGCCTGCTAGTTTCATCCTGTTTTGMAGTTAGAATGCACATAATTGCTTTGTAAATTGTGTTACTTGTTAAATTACAGGTTTATTTTTGTATTTCATGTTTAGTATCTGGAGTAGAACAGAAAAATTATTATGCCTGTGCTCCTTTGGGACTCTTTGAAAATTGTACAGTGACATCTTCTGGGATTTAGTCTGGTGAGTTAAAGTTTGCTTTTTCTGTTTGTTAACTAGTTGAATGTGAACATGCTATCATAATGTGCTTTGAGGATTATATAAATAGGTGAATATGCAATGTCAATGTATTATTGCAAATGTCTGTACTACAATTACAAAGTTTTTAATGGTCAGAACTGAAATTAGGATTGCAGTATGCTAACATTATTAAAATGTTTGATTCTTTGAGTGTATTTTAAAATTTCTGCAAAATGAATGCATAATTTTGGAATACTATTTTAGAACATATAGTAGTTAAAGATAGTTGCTATAGTTTGGGGGAAATTTTAGTAAAAACATTAATCTACAAATGTAGGTGAAACAATCTGCAAAAATTTCTAGTTGAAGATACATAAAAGATGTCTAACAGGTGGAGGAAAGCAGAATCATTTTCACCTGATTATGTCACTGTTTACTGCCAGTGTGGCATTCCTCTTAGCACACTGAATTAAAACTTATAAAAGTATGCAATGATGTTGTCTCCCCCCACCTCCATGTGTCATCTGTGTGTTGACATAGTTGTCTGTGTGACTTCAGGTCTTTGAATGGGGGAAATAGTAATGATCTTTGTAGCTCTTTAGCATTTTGAAAACTATATTTTTGTGAGTCTATGCTTTGATATGTCATTCTGCTTCRCCACTACCTTTGTAGGTCCTTGCTTTGAGTTATTTAAAGAGGTCATAATCCTTGGAAAATGCAGTTTCATAATAAAGAGATTTCTAAATTAGCAATGAGCTGAAGATTGATTCAGAGAAATAGGGAGAAATAAATGCCAATTACTATTAAGAAGATGTACCCAATCAAGTTTATAAAATGCATTTTAAAACATTAAAAAAATAGAAACACTATTAAAATTTCCAAGTTTCAGGACAAGAGCAAGAAGTTTGAAAAACATAAGTACGAGGTACATTTAGAGGATTTTAAATAAGAAATAATTTGACTGGCTCACTAACTCACCCAGTTGAAATAAAGCACAAACCTAGGAGTGGGTAGAAACTAAAGGAATATATTGGTGTGTGTGTGGCTATGTCTACCTCTATGAATATATGTGTTTGTTTATGTTATACCTGAATGTATATGTTATATTGTAAGTCAAGTAACATTCTAGCAGAATTACAAAAGGTGAAATGAATCAACATAGGAGGCAGCAAGTTTACATGTCATTGAAGGTGATCAGACATATATACTAGATAACTTTTAAGATTCCTTGGGGGGAGGGGGCTGGTGTTGTGGCTCAGAGGTAGAGCAACTAGGCAGTTAGGCTTGATCCTCAGCACCACATAAAAATAAAGATATTGTGTCTACCTATAACTAAAAATAAATATTTTTTAAAAAGATTCTTTTGGATTCTAAGGTCGTACAGTCTAAAATATTGTAAAGTTTGGAGGACCATCTTAAACTTGGAAATATATGACAAAGACTTCTTTCATTTTTTAATGTCAGTTGTTTTGGGGAGGGGGGGGGCGGTTACTGATTGAACTCCCGGACACTCAGCCACTGAGCCACATCCTGAGCCCTATTTTGTTCTTTATTTAGATAATGGGTCTCACTGAGTCCTTAACCCCTCGCTTTTGCTGASGCTCAGCCTCCTAAACTGCTGGGATTACAGGTATGCACGACGTTGCCCAGCTAATGTCAGATTTTTGAAGTAAAACTTACATATAGTAAAATTCAGTGGATTAAAAACAATATATTAGGAGGAAGGCCTTAGGGATAGGTTGTTAGTGATTATTAGTGAAATAGGAAAAAATTATGTCTATCAACATGACTAAAAAGAGATGGGAATTTAAGGGAGTAAAAATCTCTTTAATCTGATTAATTTCAAATTATAAAAAAAAAAGCAGGAGCTTGGGTTAAATTCTCCTATTGATGTGTTTTATATACAAGTTCCCAAACCTCAATGCATATTAGAGTCACCTGGATTCATTTTAAAATGTAAGAGCCCAGATATACAAATCTAGGTGAAACATAGATATCAGTAATTTTGAAGCTCCTTGGATGATTTCAATATGTAGACAAGTTTGGGAGCCACACACTAGAATGATGCATGATGAATAATCATGTATTAGATTTTGAGCCAAGAGACTTGGGTTGTAGTTATGGCCACAAACTACTCTCATGGCTGCAGGCAAGCCCTCATCTTCATGGCTTTTATGTCTACTTGTCTATCACTCCAACTGTAGAGCTTCCAGGTGGGTGAATTTCAAGTTATTCTGGCATCAAGACTAGGTGATTCTGGTCATCTCTAGACTAATATTAGTCAATGTTTAGAAGATCCCATTTCTCAAAGAATGACTCCATTCTGAATGGTTATTTTAGGTATTTAAAAAAATTAAACAAAACCTATTTATTTGTTTCCATATGGAAAAACCTGAAGTATCCCTTCAATCCTGCCCTAGGTATTTTTTTTTTCACTTGGCTATTATGTTTATTTTTATTTTTTATTGGTGCATATTTCACTTCAGGTTCTTCTTGAAAAGGATTTTATTAACATTATGACTTTGTTTTAAATGTATAAGATGGTTATGTTCATATCTGTTTCATGGGGTATGGCTATATGTTGCTAAGTACAGTTAAAGCATAGGAAGCAGTTTTTTTTTTTTTAAACTGGTAGTGAAATTTTTGATAAGCCTGATTCTAAAAAACATTCTAGAATACAATAGTTTTCAAAAAGCAGTTTCATAGCAGTTATGAAACATATGAACAATTTTTCAGAGCTAGTCTATGGAACTAAGGCATCTTAGTTACAGTTCTGGAATATTATAGGAAGGTTGGCTTTCTGGAGAGTGTTCAGGCTGTGCAGATTCCGGCAGGTTGTGGTATGACTGCTCATTCTGTTGACAGATCATCCTGGCACAGGAGGATCCTCTAAACAAGTGGTGTTTTGGGGGCCTGTTTGCTTTTACTCTCAGCCAGAATACTCCTGTTAGGATGATGTGTGTTGTTCCTGATAATCTAAAAATGTCCATCATGTATGTTTTTCTAGTATATATAAATTTTATTTTTCCTTTGTTTAAGGAAATTTGACAGTTTTAAAATTTTCTTTTCAAGAAATATCTAAGTGCAATAGTATGAGATATTTGAGGTCAATGAATGGATATGATGTCCTTTTCATTTATCTTTTCCCTTTGGCAAAATGAAACATATTATCCTTTGGGCATATTTTCTTCCTTTCTTCTTCAGTAACTTCTGTTTATAAGCAGTAGAGTAGAAACAGGCACTTTCTTGGTGAGTAAGTAGCACTTTTAAAAAATTGCATAAATTTTTAGTTTTATAAGGTAATAAATACATTCCCCTTATTAAAAAATGGGGGAAAATGTTTAAAGCTTTGTGGTAGAGCTATAAAAACTTAAAACACATATATTCTTTTACCTGTAAATTTTACTTTTAGAATTTTTTTTTAGAAATATATTTCCAGGTGATTATTCCTAGTATGTGATTATATATTTTTTTTGTAGAAGATGTGTTAAGAGAATACAGCAAAAATAGACTTATCCAAGTTGGTATAGGGATCTAACAACAGGTCTCTGTGTCTTTTGATATCTCAGTTAAAGCTTTAGAGAGTTGAAATACTTTTAATATACATAATAGGAAATTGTTAAATCACTTAATTCTTTATTATATGAAATACTACTAGGATGCAGTATTCTCTGAAAGAATTTTGAATAGCAGTTTGGAAACTTACGAGCTATTTTCAAGGCTGGACTAAGGAACTAAGGGCATTTAGATTATATTTCAAACTATTGTTACTTATGCCCAGAGTATAGGAGGGTTGGACTTTTGGAGAGTATTCAATGACTATGCAGATTCCATATATAGTCATAACCATTTGAATGTTCTYATTGTGATAGACTAGGTTCCCCTGCACACATGTATTGTGTGTGTGTTGTAGTTTGGACCTTTTGCTTTATTTTCAGCCAAAATTCACAATTGCATGCTATACTCACTGCTTTAAACATGTACTGTGTGTGTACATTTTTTCTAGAATTAGTATTATCTTGCCTAGCGTTGTCTAATTGAATCCTCATGTATTTCAAAGAAATACAGTAGTACATACTACCACTGCCAGGTCTTTCATACTTTATAAATAATTCAGTGCTATTATTACTGGTTGGATTGTGAAGAAATTTGATATTGAAGATTTTTAGGTGTCATTTAAAAAATCATATTTGCTTTTAGTACTTGTTTTAAGAAGCTCAATTTTAAAAGCATAATTTTATTTTCTGTTTTACATTCTTTTTGTCCATAGAAATTTTGCTGCTGTCCATAGAAATTTTGTTGTTTCTCTTACTAAAAMATTAACACTTTTTTTCTATTTTGGCTCCAGTCTATTTCCTTAAACACATGTGAAAAGCACTAATGGAAAAAGAAGGCATCGTGGGTCTTTAATTTTTAGTGGTCACAAATGCAAAAGTTAGCATCAGGCCTGATTTCTTGATTTACTGTTTGTTGGTGCAATGGAAGTCCTGCTTGTTGCTCATTCTTGTGGTGATGCTTGCAAGAGCGCTTTGTAATCCTTTATCATGGCAGTGTGCTTTTGGGATACAGGTTTATTTTAGAATATGAAATAAAATGCTGAATTATGAATAGGCTTGCTAAAAATACCAAGCCTGTAAGCAGTTTTTTTCTTGATAAAACCTGAGGAATATGCTGCTAAACATAAGCTATCTCCAGTTACAGTCACTGTAGTTTTATTTCCTAATGAATGCTTTTTAATACAAAATTGGGAGCTGGGGTATATGTAGTTCAGTGGTAGAGCACATACATACCCAATATACAAAAAGGCCCTGGGTTTAGTCCCCAAGGGGGCAGGGGGAAAAAAAGGAAGGAAGGAAGGAGGAAAAGAAAATGAATTTTGCTGTGGAAAATATTGACCATCCACATATCAAGATATCATGCTGGTCAGGCACAGTGGTGCATACTTGTAATTCCAGCTGCTGCAGGTGGGGGAGGGAAGATTATCTTTTTTTGAGACTGTGCATTTTTTACTGTTATTTTTTAGTCAAATTCTGGAATTAGAAGGTACTTAAACTTCTTCAGGTGGAGAAGTACCTAAGCAGATTTTCTAGTTTAATAAACAAACAAACAAAAAAATCAAAAAAACCTGWAAAGTTGATTCTCTAACTTTCTCAGGATTTTGCCTCAGTATTTAAATTCAGTCAAGAAATTCTTAGGAATTTAAGAACAAAATGTTTACTTTTCAGTTACATTGAATCTTAGTAAGCATTCTGTCCAATTAAAAATGAAATATTTACCAAATCAGAGCTCTCTTTGCTGAAACCCAACCTCCATCTAGCTTTCTTAGAGCTACCCAGTAGGTGTCCTGAGAAGGGCAATATATAAGTAAAAGGATCCTTTTAAAAAAATGTAAGCCATTTGTGAGAATCCTGGTTCTAGCGTTCATGTTCCTATATGAATATCAAGACATGAAGATGCTCTTGTTCATATGGTGATAGACACTACAGAGATCAATGAAACCACCCAAAAGAGCTATTTTAAGAATACATTGTTGTTTGGTGAAAAAGGACTGATGTTTAATATCTAAAAAGTGCAGTGTTCTAACTCTTAGAATTGCTTGTCAGAAATTCAGCAGGTAGCAGCTGTATTTGTAATATTTAAAATGAGTCTTTTGTGTTTCAATGCAATGAGAATCCCATTCAGAAATTTCTTCCAGAGTGTGGACCTGTTTTGCATTGGCTTTAGTTGTTAGGTTACATTTTTATGTCAGAGGATATTAAAATCCTTATTTTTAACGTTGTGTTTAAGTAGTATTTTCTCTAATGAGTATGTTGTCTGTTGTCTGCCTCAGTAAAGTATAGGTTACTTACACCAAGCTGCTTGGTTGAAATTTCTAAAGAACTTAAACCATGTATGTTTCTTCTATGTAACAACCCAAGTTAAACTGTTTTCTCCCAGGTAGATATCTGAAGATCTGTTTAAATAGTTTTGCTTGACTTGGGTAATATTTCCTTATGGTGTTATTGGCTATTGGAGACTTAAGTGATGTTACTTATCCATCCAACAGCATATGTATTTCATGCTGCATCTGTGAACATTATACATTTCTTAACTTACTTTCTTCACTTTTCTAGTTTCCCAGATACTTATTTGCTAGCCAGTATGTCATTTTTCCTATTTATTTAGACCCTTATATCTTGCCATCTTTTACCTTCAACATGAGAGATTCTATGAATTCCCAGTTGTTTGTCTTAGTACAGCAGGACTGGTTTAGTGTGGGAAGAAACTTGATGGCTCTATTGACACAGAAGCTTGTGTTATCTCTTCTCTTTCTCCKGTTCCTTCCCCTCCTCTTCCCCTTCTCCTCCTCCTTCTGCTCACTCTTTGCGTGTGTGTGGTACTGGAGATTGAACCCAGGGGTGCTCTACCACTAAGCCTTATCCCCATCCCTTTTTACTTTTTATTATTTTTTATATTTTTTGGTACCAGGGATTGAACCCAGAGGGCACTTTACCATTGAGCTCCATCCTCAGCCCTTTTTGTTCTTTTGAGGTAGGGTCTTGTGGGGAGCCAGCCATGGGCTGTGTGTGTGAACTATGAGTATGAGTACATGAGTGGACTGGACTGACGATGATGCCTCTCATCTAGCTGGTGATATATGTGTCCTTTTCACTCACTCTGCCTGTGATCCCCACACAATACATGAGATGGTGTGGCCTTTCAAGATGTCAATCAATCTGCTGACCACAAGACATCAGGAAGCTAGACTCAACCCTCTGAAACCTGACCCCCCCTTCATTGGGGTGGAACTTTCTCCAGTGTCTTCCCCTCAATAAAAAGGGAATGTTCCCCACCCCCCCTCTTGTTTGTCTGCCTCCCTTGTGGGAACTGGAGAAGAGGGGAGGTCACTGAAAAATCCCAAGAAAAAGATTTTTTCTCTGTCTCGGTGTGATTATTTTGTGCCAGCCCAGTTCACCTGGAGTGACCCCGAATGACTTAATTATGTATGGAGACAGGATCTCACTAAGTTACTTAGGCCTTCTAAGTTGCTGAGGATGGCCTCCAACTTGCAATCCTCCAGTGTCAGCCTCCTGATTCACTGGGATTATAGGCATGTACCACTGAGTGGCCCTTTATATTTTTTTAAATTGAGATGGTGTCTTGCTAAGACACCAGGTTGTACTTGAGCTTGAGCTCCTCCTACCTATGCCTTCTAAGTTGAGAGAATTAGAGGAGTGTGCTMTTGCACCTGGTTGCTCACTCTTCTTTACTGCAACTTTGTACACTGTTGATTTGCTTAGCAATTATTTCCTTCTTCAGCAAAAGAGATGAATTTCAGACTAGCATTGATAAGAATTATTAACCTAATTTAGAATAGGTGTGATCTGAATTCATAGATTTTAAGTTCTTTCTAATATAACAAATGAGAATGAGGTGGTTGCTGGGAATCTGTGGATTCTCATGAATAGTCACATTTGGAAGGGACCTAGATGAGTGTCTCACCACTGCCTGTGGAGGTCATTGCTTGAGTGTCACTCTCTTGGTAGCTTGTTGGGCATGTGCATGTAATCTTTATGTGGACCTGCCATTTCCTCATGGCCTGGGTTATTTTGCTTTATGACCATCCCTTCCTTGACCTTCAGAATGAACATCAGAGAAGCAGTTCCTACCTGTAGCTGCCAGTCTGGTTCTATAGGTCAGAGGCCTTGGATCTGTCTTCTTGTGTTCTTTCAGGGCCATAGAATTGGGGATAAAGGAAGAATTAATTTTTAGGCTAAACAAAAACATTTAGCCAAATTTCTCATTTGGCTAAATGTTTTTGTTTAGCCTAAAAATATGGTGATGCTTCATAGGGTCCTTGAAAGTTTATTAGCTGGGAAATATTATTTTATGCATATCAGAGTACCTAGCCGTCACTATCCTGATCCTACCCACAAAAACAAATTACACAATGGAATATAAATTTAGTTTACATTAATAAAATATGATGAGGCCACTTGTTTTAAATCTAGAAGGGTTGAGAGGCTAGGGCATTTTTGTAAAATAGAAATTGGAAATAGTATAAGGTTTAGAGTAAATAGTGATCCCGGTATTGATCCCTTTGACATTTGCTTTGCTTCAGGAATCATTATGAATGTTTGTTTTCAGTTGTGCTGTAGATGGGGACCATAGTAAGAACAAGAATGGCATCTGGTAACTTCACAGTCTTTTAATAAAGGAAGGTAGAGCATGCAAGTGGAGAAACAAGGTTTCATTTTGTTTTTAGTTTTTCAATTGGACTTTGAAGTGAATATAGAGCTTAAAGAAATGCTTCAATTAGGAAATAGTTACTTGTTTTGTGAAAGGATTCGTAAGAATTATGTACTATCCTTTTTCTGTAGATTTGCCATCTTAAACTCAGTTATTTGACATTTTGATTAGTGATCTGAGATACTTTCAACTGTAACCTACTTCCAACTGAAGATGCAGTAGAAATCAAGTTTCTCAGAAATGACATTGTCACTATTTCCCTTAGTGTCTGGTTTTCAAAATTTGTTTTATCTGTAACTTTATGGGAACCTAAAATACTTGTGCTATTTCTTGTCAGTGGGGCTTCTCCAAATGGTATAATGTGATAATTGTAATGAACATGTTAGTATTCATTTTGAATCATTCTGGCTATTTATTAAACTATTCAAAAGAATGTCTGAGGTATTACAGACTATCTCAAATCATGCTTTGTTTTATGATTAAATAGACATGTAAAATGACATTTAATATTTTATATACTTTTAAAAATAAAAAATTCCATGACATTGAATTTAGAATTAACTTGTAAACTGTAAATGATTTTTTAAAATAATTCATTGAGGATGTGGAACGGACAACATTTGCAATGTTTYGGGGAACCTTCTTCAGAGACTCCTCCATACCCTAAAAATATATATTTTCAGGTCTAAATTGAATTCTTCACAAAAACTGATCAGCTTGATCAATTGTATAATATGGCTCTTAAACACAATTGAATGTAATTTCAGGTATAAAGAGCCAACCACTTACATGAATTTAAATGAGGAAAAAAATATAATTCTCAAGTTGAAAATACTTTGAAAATTCTTGTGAAACTTTCTCTGCTTGCTTTTATTTGCTTAATGTTGAGATCTGGATTTGATTTGCTTCATATTGTATCAAGGAGCAAACTTTATCTGGTTGCAGGGTGTATTAGTACTAGAGGAGTATTATTTTCTGTTTGCGTTTTCATATGTACTTTTTCATAGTACTTCAGGCTTTTGTTTAATCTGCTTGAGTTCTTGCAGGCAGAGAGGTAGTGGTCCTTTCATTTGCCTAAATGTCCAATAGACATGGAGAAAAAAATCTGTCAATTCGTCATCAGCTACCTTTCAGATGAGTCTCATTTCATGGCTTCCTGACTTTCTAAAATCATCTAGCATGACTTAACGTTCTGTGCATTACACTCTTCTAATCTGAATCTGTTTACTTTTAGGAGTGTGCAGATTGGTGCCTAAAATGGAAGTAGATATAAATGGGGAGTCCAGAAGTACCCTGACCACCCTACCCTTGCCTGTGGCTGAGGTGAGCTCCCCAGGAAAAGCAGAGGCGGAGAAGCCTCGCTGCTCCAGCACACCCTGCTCACCCATGAGGCGAACTGTGTCAGGCTACCAGATCCTCCACATGGACTCTAACTATTTGGTTGGCTTCACAACTGGCGAGGAACTCCTGAAGTTGGCCCAGAAGTGCACTGGAGGTGAAGAGAGCAAGGGAGAAGCCTTGCCTTCCTTTCGCTCCAAACAGCTGGATGCAGGACTTGCACGTTCCTCYCGTTTGTATAAAACCAGAAGTAGGTACTACCAGCCATATGAGATTCCAGCTGTCAATGGCAGGAGGCGAAGGCGGATGCCCAGCTCAGGAGACAAGTGCACTAAATCCTTACCTTACGAACCTTATAAGGCCCTCCATGGGCCCCTGCCTCTTTGTCTTCTTAAAGGTAAGAGGGCTCACTCCAAATCTCTGGACTACCTCAATCTAGACAAAATGAACATCAAGGAGCCAGCTGACACGGAAGTGCTACAGTACCAGCTTCAACACCTAACCCTCCGCGGGGACCGAGTGTTTGCTAGGAATAATACATGAATGACTCTCACAGTTTAAGTCACTTTAGGTCAGCCTGCACTTGGCTAGAGAAAATCCACTGTTGTACTCTGTACATGACTCTTCACATTATAGATGGTTATATCAGCTAAGTGTCCCTGGAATATAAAAATTGTTTGGATCAAATTTTGAATACAGGAATGAAATCACAGGTACTTGGGGGGAGGGTATCATGCTAGAGCACGCAACTGCAAAGAAAACAGAATGTTGACCGTTAGTTTGTATAGCTCTTTAGCTAGGAAAACAAACAAACAAACAAACAAAMAAAAGGCTTTGGGACAGTAATTTCATCTTTATGATTCTGACACTCAAATTGGGAATGTTATCTGCTTGGTTGTTGCTGACTTGGTATGATTCATTAGAAATTTATATCTTAAGTACACAAGTACTTCTTGAAACTCTGTATTTTACTATAAAATGTATGTAATGATTTGTTTTATGAAATTTAGAACTTGAACATTGCTGAATTGGACCACTTTTTATTTTTAAATATTGAGTTTAAATATTTTATAACTGGTTTTGCACTGAAAAAAATTAACATTTCAGATTAAAAGAATAATCTTTCTTCACTTGTCTCAATAATATTATTGAGCAATGAATTTTTTATTTCCGCATGGAAAGTTATTGATCTCTATGGCTGTAAAATATTTCTTTATAGCGTTATTAAAGTGTGTCTTAATAAAATTAAATTTGGGATACAAAGTATTTATTTTACAATGGGCGGGGGGGAAGCTTTTCCAGAAAGTTTCCAGTATGAAGTTTTCATAAGTTGAAAAAGTTTCCTTAGTGCTTATTTTCTAATTTAAAATTCACTTGGAACTTTACAATGGAAAGGATTCTTTTAATTGTGGGTTATAGGCATAAGACTGTTTGCATCTGAATTTTCTGTAAGTGAATGGAACTTTAATAGAAGATCTCATGATTTCTACTATTGAATGCTTAAACTAAGTATGAACTTAATTCAGCATGGCATTGGGTCATTMCAGTTTTAGTTCTGTGCATCACAGCACTCATTGAAATTCCAGTTTCTAGGATTAGTGTAGGAGACTAAAGTGCTTCTGTAATTTTAATGGGTTAATCCTGGATTACTTAACAATTTATGTCAATTGCACTGGTTCAATTTGTTGCTAAAGAAATAATGCCCTGGCTTTAGTAACAAATACAGCTCAACTATTCTTGAATATATTTTGGAAAAAATGTATGTAACTTACCTTTTGTAAACATTTCTCTTTCTTTTTTTTTCCTTTCATTCTTTTGTTCTTTCTTTTTTTTTTTTTCTTTTTTGACTCTTGAAGGTGCAATTTATTACTAATCTGGCATCTCTGGCAACATAAAACCGCATATTTTTGTTTTACTGTGGGGAGTGTGAGGTTTCTCGGGTGTTAGCAATCTTGCTTATAAAAATAAGAACGCCTTTTAATTAATGAGTGGGTCATTCCTGGCACAATTGTGATTTTTCCTTTAGCCAGAAAGAATGGCAAACTTTATTTAGAGCAAAGTAAGTATTAGGAAACCCTAGGAACTCTTAATCAATGTTTATCRTACTTTTACTAAGGCAAACCATGTGGAAGAGCCTTGGGAGGTTGACGCATATCTTACTGAGTTGATCAGATTTCTTGGTGGGCTGGAAATTTCAGCTATTGTATATTTTAAAGTAAATTGCACCTTTGTAACATATTGTATTGATGAATGATCACTAAGATTAACTATATCTATACAGTCAATAGTTTGACAAGAAATAGAATCCTGTCAGATGCCAAAGAGTTGGGATTTTTACGTTTAATGATTAAACACCATTATTTATTGATGACTTACCCTGTGGAACTGTATTATTTCTAACTATGAAATAAAAGGGTGATGTAAACACATACTGTTATGTGGTGCTTTAAAATAGATCCACCATCAACAGKCTAGTTATTGCTTAAGAATTTTACCTAAGCATGTACTTTAAGACCCCAACTTTGTGAAACAAAAACCAGAAACATTTACTTTTGATGTTCATTGGCACTTCAAGACAAGACAAATTATTCCTGGCAATGATATGTATTCCATTTACTAGGGAACCAAACTATTTTCTTGTGTGATTCATTCCTGTCTAGGTGCCTAAATTTCTTGAGTTAAATAAAAATATAGAGCTTTTTTTGTTTTGTTATGTGTTTTTACTTAAGGACAGGTGATACTCAGTGGCAAAAAGCAAAAGGACTTAACGTATAAGATATGGCATATTTGCTGTTTCCTGATGAGTAAAGATAGATAATTTAAATTTTGGTTTCCAAAAACAAACCAAAAAAAACCCCTTCGAACCCTAGATTAGTAGTTTTTTGTTTTTTTTTTTTATTGTTTTGTTTTGGCAGGGATTAAGTCCAGGGCACTCCACCATTAAACTACATCCTCAGCCCTTTTCAGTTTTTATTTTGAAACAGCGTCTCACTAAGTTACCAAGGATGGCCTTAAACTTGTGATCTTTCCATCTCACTTCTTGAGGCACTGGTATTACATGTGTCACTGGGCCTGGCAGTTAGTAGTTTTCTAAATGAGTTGCAAAGTCCCTTCATTAGTTCAGTTTCACTTTTTCTGTGCTCCATGGAATTGTTCTCCTATGGTGGGTAGCATTTTATTTATTTATTTATTTTTTGTGAATGGATACAGTATCTTTTTATGTTTTTATTTTTATATGGTGATGAGGATTAAACCCAGTGCCTCACACATGTGAGGCAAGAACTGTACCACTGAGCTACAGCCCCAGCCCAGGTAACATTTCATTTAAAAAAAAAAAAAAAAAAAAGGTTGAATCTCTTTTAACTGAGGGGTGGGGGGTGGGGGAACCTTCTAACATAGTTTCTATTTTTCAACTCTTTTTTAAAAATCCAATTTAATATTCCATACTAAGTAGGACATGCTTCTGGCCATATACCTGATGATGTAACCTTACAGTACTTGTTGCCCTAAAACATTGCTATAATATATAACTTTAATCTTTTTTTCAAATGTGCTGTGTGTTCGAGGCTCAGATGATGCATTAAGTAGCAGTAGAATTTCAGTCCTTGCCTGAACCTGAGTTGAGCCTCTTATGTTCCTTTTACTTCCATCCAGCAGCACTGGATGCCGGGCTTCTCTGGTCAGGAGTCATAGAAGAAAAGACTGAACGTGTAAAMCCATTCACCGCCCCCTTCTTCCCACCTCATCTTCTGGACTCCTACTCAACTGGACTACTACTGTTCCATGTCCATCAAGTCCTATTCATTTCTCCCCATGTCCCATAATGTCCATCTGTGGGTTGCTGGGTCTTTTTGCTTCCCTGAGATTTACTTAAATGATTTTAATATTTGGCCTTTGGGAAGCTTTTAGAAGATTCTGAATTAATTTTTTAAAGGCAAATTGGTCTTTCTCCAGAGAAGGAATATTTCTTGCCATCTTGAGAAAATCAATGCATTTTTACTTATTTTCTCATCCTAACATCCATTTGTCTAGGAAAGGTTTTTATTCCATTATAACCATTGAACTTTTTATAAGGAAACTTTTGAATCACCCTGGCCTGAGTGGTTTGTCCTCAACAAGAATAAGGAGGAGGAGAGCCTGTTACAGTTGATAAATGGTATAAATGTTCTGGAGGAGTTGGGATGGAGAGGGAGCAAGGACGTACATTATTGTAATGCAGAGTACAGTAAGTATTAAGTAAAATTGCCTTTTTAAACAATGTAATTTGATTAGGGAAATAGAAATTGATGAGGAAGATTGTCTGGGAAATACAATAAATGTGATYACAAAACTAGAAGTGGAGGTTGTCAGCACTTAATGATGCACTTCTGGTTGTAATGCAGTTCTTTTGATAAGAATTGTGAAATGGACTTCTTTGATATTTTGCATTAGAAAAAAAATTAAGGATTTTTTTCTGGCTGAGAACAGTAGAAACAATCAAAAGAAGAATGGCTTTTATTTGTTAATATTGAGTTTGCCAAGCCCCTGAACACTACTGTAGTGGGGGAGATGTTAGGATGGTTTTCTTATCATTTTGAAATGACTTTGTACAAGGTTTCCTTAAATGGTTTCAGAGACAAAGTCTGAAACAAAATCTCAACATTGTCACCCCTGATCTTGGGGTTGTGTTTGATGTATAGATCTATAGGAGGGCCCAGGGTGAGAAAAGAGAACTCAGCATYTACTGGGATAGAAGCGAGTAGCTGTGCAGTCAGTGGAGTCCTTAAATGATCCCGGCTGGGGTTACTTCTGGAAAGGAGAGCTTTGATGTTTTTGCTTTTGTGGAAAAGCTAGCAGCACTTTCAAAGTTCCTTCTGAATGTTCTCCAGAAAGTGACCTTACTGTGTGCCAGTGGAAAGAGGAGGGAACACTGTGTCCATGATGTTGACCTTTAGTCTGATTGACCAGGAAGAGTATTCTTCACCAAACTTTTATGTTAAAGGATTACACTTGAAAATATATATTTGGAAGACTTTGAATCCTCTACCCCTGGCTTAATGCTTCAGTTAGGCAAAGGAACTTATGCAATAAAAAGTTTTTTGATCTCTATCAAATCAGTTCCCAGCTAAGGGGAGAGCATGTACACCATCAGGCATGTGGCAGACATCACTAATCCATCCCTGCAGCCTCACTTGGAGTCCAGTGGCCTTGTTATCTTTCTTAACTCAACTATCACACAACTACTACAGAATTGATAGCAATGCCTAGGAGGTACAACATGTTTGCCCACCACATTCCAACACCCCTTGCAATGGATGACAATGTAAAATGAAAAATGGTATGAACATTCTTGAGTAGGAGACCATTTTGGACACTGCCTTTTAACCCCAAAGCAGAGGAGAATGGTGCTGCCAATGTCACCACAAAGCATGGACTGAGCATGTGCAGGCACTCTGGGAATAGAGGGTTTGAGACAGTWTTCACCTTCAAGGACAGGCCTATTTGGAGAGGTGGATAAGATACCACAAGACCATGCAAAGTCAGTGTTTTGTAGATTAAATAGCAATTTAAGAGAGGGAAGTTTCAGTCCTGTGGGACTGAAATCCGAGAAAGAAGTCTTGTTCATTTTTCTCTCAGTAGCCTACCCAGCTTATTGATGTGCTCACTTACATTGCTGATCTGTATAAAAGCTGAAATGTAAAGATATTTTTTTTTCCTCAAAAGTGCCTTTGTAAAAAAGTCTGGGGAGACAAACAGGCAGAAGGCAAAATCTTAATAAGTGACTCTGAGAAGGGTCAGGGCATGCCAACTGTGTTTAGTTGTTACCTCTACTGTGTCCTCGGTTTGTCTGCTAAGATGAATTGACCTACTTTCTAGAAAAGCTGAAGCATTGAAGCTGGTAAATAGATATTTTTTTGTGACTTTCTCCTCTTGTCTTGCCATTCTCTTTATTCTTGTGTGCAGATGACACAGGAGGTTTACTTAAGTATTTAAGGTCAGAAGCACATTAAAAATATGTACTCTTGATTTAGTGCATACAAAAAATGCAATTGAAAGTATTTTGCTCAAGTAGTTTCCTAATGCAGCAGCTTTGTTTGCAGAATCCCTTCATTAGTTTGGTCTTACTTTGTCTTACTACTACATGGAATTGGACCCTATGGTAGATAGTATTTTATTGAGAGAGAGAGAGAGAGAGAGAGAGAGAGGAAAGAGAAGAAAGAGAGAGAGAGGATAGGCTGGATCTTTAAGCTGAAAAAAAATCTTGTCTAACAGTTTCTATTTCTAAACTCTTTTTAATAAATCTTTTGAAATAATAAACTTACAACCCTAGATTAATTGGTAAATTTCTGTATTTTACTTTTGAATATTTATAAAATTTTAGTTCTGATATTCTTAATGTTTTGCATATATTTTTAGTGTAATGCTGATCTAATAAGAGTTGAATGCAGTTATAAGGAAAAATTTCTAAGGGATTTTCTCTACATTTACAAAAGGATGTCTATAGAAATGAACAATAATTCAGTGGTAAGCCACATGAGGTAAATGTACTCATAGTTCAAAAAGAAATTCATCAAGCATGACAAATTGACTTTTTTTTTAGGAGAAAAGGACATTTTATGTTACATTTAATATAATATTGCCTAAATGCTATTTGACCCCAAATTTATGTGCTAAATTCTTGCTGGGACAAGCTGTCAAAGTGAAATGATGAGAATACATTTTATTCTTCAGATTATTTAAAAGATCTTCCTTTGATTTTTTTTTTAAAGAAACATTTGACTAGAATAGAGATCCCAGAATATAAACAGTAGAAAATATGGCTTTCTCCACTGGGCCGGTGACTTTGTATAGAAACCAAAGGAAATGCTGCAAATGATCATGGCTCCTCATTTGTGAATGAGAAAGATCTCAGGGTCCATCCATTCTACTTTTCCTGCTGTCGAAACCAACCTAGACAGAAGTGTGTCATGTGTCTTTCTAAAAATTTTTAGGAGAGGAAATCATGCTGAGTCACTACCACTGTAGTTTGACCCACATTTTCTGGTGAAAAACTTAGCAGTGAAATTTCAAATCATAGTATTTAAACTGCCAAGCTAAATTTTGCAGTCAGCATTTTTCTTAATCCTACAACTTTTTAACCTTAAAATTACTTCACCAGCTTCAAGCAGTACCCCCACCCCTGCCCGCTTTGTGTGTGTGTGTGTGTGTGTGTGTGTGTGTGTGTGTTTCTCCAGTAGTCCAGAGTTGTCACAGTGACATCTACATCTGGAAAATGAGTAAGCTTTTGGTTACCAAATAGTCAGCTTGAGTTCCTATATGGGAATAAAGTGGGAAACTCTGTCTGGGCCCTGAGCAAACAAGATGCTTCACTGCAATTAGCCCATGGGAAGATGGGTAGGGGACATAGCTTTCTTTCTCTCTTTGGCTCTTGTTCTTTCCCAGTGTGGCGTAGAAGGCTCTGATGACTCTGAAAGCTCCAGAGCTCATCGTTCACACATTCTTTTTTAGATTAGAAGATGTTTGGGGGAAATAGGATGTAAGTTTCTGGTGACTCCATGAGGAGAACCTTACCCTGGGC